ATATATATATATAGAGAATGAAGGAACTGTTACGTTTGGCACATCATGTTCTGCTTGCTTCAACTGATTTTTAACAAAGCATAAAAAACACATTATTCATAATTAAACCTGTACTGAAATGTTCAAATTTGCTTTCATTGCAGGTCCCCCAGGTTTGTGAGCAGGAGATTCAATGCAGAACAAAAGGTGAGTAATGCTAAATCTTTATAAAATATTTAGTTTGTTACAAATCAGCTGAAATGATGTGGCAACCTGTCAGAGTGGCCATATATGTATAGGTCATCCGTGACAATGATGGGAGGTAAAGTCAGAGGGTCTGCTGCAGTCTGCTTTCCACGTGTAATGTATGCAAGTTTAAAGAATTATTCTGACTATGCCATACCACACGTCACCAACATTGGTGCATATTAACACATTTCATAAAAATAATGTAACGTTGCATTTACTTATCTTTCACTACAGATGATTGGTTACAGAAGTGGCAATTTTAGGATCAGTCCAGTCCCCTGCAAGGCCCATTAACTGCAGCCAACTATCGCGCTATGCGCTGTGTCCCACCCTCATCTCATAGCTGTTTATGAACATGATCAATTTTATGGCTTTGCAGGCAGTCATAGAGAGGTTGTAAGATTTTATTCTCTTTTAGGGGTGATAAACCCCATCCCTAGACAATGGAAAACTCAGCACCCTTTCCATGGAAGATTGACTAGTATTATGGTTTGCAAGAACTGTCAGCATCAGGTAAGAGTGTGTGTGTTTTTAAAATTCCCTTGAATCAGTATTTTAGAATAACTTCTGTCAATGGCATTATGAGTATTTTAAGCCTACAAGCTTTTCAAGTAAATTCTTATTTTTCTTAGAGTCCTATGCGATATGACACCTTTGACAGCCTGTCGTTGAGTATACCTTCTGCCGTATGGGTAAGTATGCTGCTATACTCCTCTTAACCCCTTAGTGTTGGGAGACGTACACTCTACGATCCTGCCACTAAGTGCACAAATGACTTCTCATGTACACTGTACATGGGCAGATATTTGAGGATCTGTAATGCTGATAACCACTAAGAATCAACGGTTACCTTTTCATTAATGGATGCCTCAGTATTGAGTCATCCATTAATGAAAGAGTTAAGCTTTTACAGACACCCGATCCCTGACAGTGATAGAGCGGTATTCACCGCACTTGCTGTCACTGTTTGACAGCTGGTATAGATCATGAAATCCCATTGTGTACCAGGTTTTTGCTAAATGTTTCATAATAGAAACATTTAGCTACATGTTTCTTTAATGACAGTGAACCTGACTTGCTGTCAGGATCAGTGTCACTTAGGTTATTATAATCTGTTCCTAAGTTTGGAGCAGCCTAATAATAACCAAAATTAATTAAATTATCAAGCAGCCATAGTGAGATTCATTTACAATGACTGTTGATATAATTAAAAATAAAAGTGTAAAAAATGTTTTAAAAAAATTGGGGAAAGAATAAAAAAAAATATATAAAATTAATATATTTAAATATATTTTTATATACTATCATTATAAAAATTAACCCCTTGCAATGAATCTGCAGCCGAGCTGCAGATTTGTTTTTCACCCTAAGGGGGTAATTTTTTTATTTAACCCCCTCATGACAGCGATGTTCAAAGTATGTCGCTGTCACTAAGTGTGACACTTGGTTACATTGTATGCCAGATGACCACTATTAGCTTTTAGAGAAAAAAAAATTAAAATGTTAGCATTTAGTCTTAGGCCGGGAAGTATAGAAAATTTTCTAAAATCCTAGGGATGTGAGGTGTTTCCAAATAAACGACAAATAAATTAATTTAATGTGATATTTTTTTTTATTTTTAGCTGTGCTATTTTCTAAAAAAAAGTGATAGTCAAAATTGGGGAACAAGTGAGGCGTTAGGCGCACATATGTGATATAATCATATTGCCTTATCTGTTCTCTAAATAAACAATATATAATATACGTGGGTGCACTTGGTAAGTAAATATGGAAGAATCACACAGCAAAAATGTAAAAAGTGCATCTGCCCGAGTGCACTGCAGCAAAGTAACATCAGTAGATAAACAGTAGTAGTAGATAGGAAGGTGTCGATAGACAAGTGTATTTATTATGGGTTTTTTTAAATTCCCTAAATTTTTACCACCAGGGTCGTGTTTTGACACTGGACCACTGCCTACAACACTTCATCTCCACAGAGAGTGTTAAAGATGTTGTCTGCGAAAATTGTACCAAAGTAAGTTATACATTAGTATAAGTCAAAATGTGATGTGTGGGCACTCGTGTTCACAAGAGTTGCAGTACATAGATATTTTTTCCATGCTTGTGCAAAATACTGATGTGTTATTGGCATGTAGCGTGATCTTTAATATAATATACAGGTGAAACTCGAATAATTAGAATATCGTGCAAAAGTAATTTCAGTAAGTGCTGCAAAAGGGGCCCAAACTGAGTACATATGCATGCTTGTACTTTTCAGAGGTCCGATATTGTTCTATGTACAATCCTTGTTTTATTGATTGCATGTAATAATCTACTTTTCTGAGGTTGTGGATTTGGGGTTCTTGGGGTTTTCATGAGCTGTAAGCCATAATCATCACAATTATGACAAATCACGGCTTGAATTATCTTGCTTTGCATGTAATGAGTCTCATATATTAGTTTCACCTTTTAAGTTGCATTAGTGAAATAAATGAACTTTGCACGATATTCTAATTATTCGAGTTTCACCTGTATTTGGATAGAATGAGAAATCGCTTTGTGTTACCAAAAATGAGAACGTTGGATAACTCTTCAGTTCCAATATAAGATACCTTAAAGCAGACATCATTTCTTTATTATATTCAGATAAGAGTTTTTAGGTGACTTTAAAAAAAACAAAAAACATTCTTTAAAACCGTTCTATTTTGGGGTATGGTGGTATTTAACAGTAAAAATACCCATAAGGGATAATATCTTTTTCAGAAAAATAAAAGCATGACAAAGTCCAAGATCTCTGCACCTGTGTGGTACAAACTTAGATAAAAGCTTTCCAATGGGAAAATAAAAGGCTGTGTATTTTAAAAGTAGTGATGTTTGAGATTTAGCTAGATTGTAAAGCAAATGTCCTATTTTATTTTCTTTTATCACAGTTACAAGCTCAAGAGAGACCAAATGGGCAGCTCACAGAAGATCAGAAAACTACTTTTGTTAAACAGTTGAAATTAGGAAAGGTGAGCAACTGAAAACTAATATCTATATCAATATATATATATACACATAAGTGAAACTTATTTCAGTCAGTACTGTGGGAATATACAGAATGAAATATGAGAAGCTAACCGGGCCAATTAACTGGCAAATGATAGACTGGTCTGCTATATTCACTCTTGCCTATTTTTATGTTTTCATACTGCTGTTATGGTTATGCATTGTATGTTTCTGTCTTTCCAACAGCTTCCTCAGTGTTTGTGCATCCACTTGCAGCGTCTGAGCTGGTCTAATCAGGGAAGCCCACTGAAACGCAATGAACATGTCCAGTTTAGTGAGTTTTTGGCTTTGGACAGATATAAGTATCGGATTGCCGGCAGTACCCATAGCAGAAAAGTTCCACCAACAATAGATGGATCATCAGGTACTCGCTAGATCAGAAGATTAAACCTGTTTAATTTTCAGTTTAAAACTCCTTTGTGGTATTTTAAGACTATGCCCACAGGTGATATTAAGCTTAATCGTTTCTCAGTCCTACCCCAGAATTCTTTCCATTATTCCTAAATGTAAGGATATCCTTGCTAAAGCACTTGGCAAATCATTCTTTCTAAATGTTTGCATAGGGGATTGGGACCTACACAGTAAGTTTTTTTTTTTTTGTCTTACATTAGCAAATGATATGGCAATCAGGTAAACCAGTTTGACTGATATACACATATCCATTATTAGTGGGGCAGAATAGGTCAGAAATGTCCAGACTGGCCAGATTGCAGTGTTTTTCAGCATGTTTCTTTTTAGTTGCACACTTGCATACATCAGCATATTTGTGAGTACCCTTGGTGTGAAATTAATTCAGTGTATGTATTTTGTCTAGTTTCTGATGGTCATCAAAATGCCAGGGTTCAGTTGCTGAATGGAACATGTTCTACTTCACTATTGTCACCTCCGTACACAAACTCTAGGTCTCCTGCAGACTGCATGTGAGTATCTTTGACATAACTTATAAGAAAACCTTTGCTGGAAGAAATATAGGGACTGCTATTTCTAACCTATCTTTCTGAAATAACTAGCTCTCTTGCAGTTATACCGATTTGCTGGCTTTATTACTTGACCCATAACAAGTATGCTGGTCGGCAGAGATCTCAATTTACTGGTTACATGCTTGTCATAGATCAGTGACTGTGAAAGTGTTCACATCAGAAAACCAGCATGACAGGCAGTTTGCATTTGTACTGCTCTCATATTGTTCTTGGATTTGGTTGGTGAGTTGCTACTATAAAAGAGATGCTGTTCCCCCCCCCCCC